CGAGCTCGGCTCGTGCTCGTGCGACAATGCTGACTCGGCCCATTGACACCACTACTTAGCATTATTCCTTTTTAATAGAATATTAGGTTATATCCTCAACACACGTGTAAGTTATACAAAAGCTTTCTATATTTTTTAAAAAATTATGTTATATGTACACTCTTCTTTACATTTTTGTTGATACACTTTCACATATATTCATTAAAATCAATTTATCACATCGTTGCACAAATTTTTTCGACATAGGGAATATCAACCAAAATGTCACGGAAAACTCTGCATCTTGCATTATTCTATTTTTCAATTGTTTAACTTGTGCGCTGCGGCAGACAGGGGTAAATAAGACATTTAAATAGTTCTTTTAGAATCTTTACCAGTCAAAAGCAAGTGGGTGGGACTCTGCTAAATATAAATTTTATTTAAAATACTACACAAAATCTCACCTTGGGAAGACTTACGGGGTGGGGTAATCGTTATTTAATCGTACGGCCTCAGTTACGTGAAATAAAATATAAAAGCTGAGATCTGGGCACTCCCTCCGATCATTAGGTTACATCTTATAAGATCCATAACTTTTCAACCATACATCTCATTAATTTTATCAAAATTTACTATAAATTTGATTTTAATTTCCACCGAACAAGAACAAATTATTGTCCATCCTTTGTAGGATAAATTTTGGAGTCTCCCTTTATATGCAAATTTAAGTAATTTATAAATTCAATCAAAATTAACTTTTAATTTTAATTACGTATTTGTGAGGTACGCTATAATTCTTTTCGACGAAACATTTATAAAAAAATTGTCGAACGGGGACTTAATTTGTACTTCGGGATCAAGAAAGTGCTACGAGCATATTAATTATTTCACTACTCCAATTAATAATATTAATATGTGAAATTGTATGTGTTGCAATAACGATATTTTAAACTTCTTTCCTACTTCAGGGCCTGTTTGAGCCAAATTATTATAGAATGAGAATGAAAAATATAGTCGTTATTGGGACCCACACAAGAAATGAAAAATTTAAATTTAAATATTAATGTAATGGATAACGGTCACATTTTTTATTTTAATAAAATAATAATGTAGATCAAACGGGGGCTTAAATTATTTTCCTTAGTACTATATGTGAAAAGTTAAATCTAAAATTTATTGAAAAGTTTCCTTAGTGAAAAGAGAAAAGGATTTGGTGGGAGTGCGCAAATAAAGATTAATTGATGCAAAACTCTGTCGTATTCGAGAATATGAGATGTAGGAGTCACGTGATCACGTGCCGTGCCAGGGTGGGTGCATCGATTCTCATAAACAAATTGGAGCGCGC